AACAGCTAAGGCCCTTGCTCCTGCAAAGCCTCTTGCGTGGGAGCAGCTCCCCCGGAGTCCGCTGGGCCATTCCTGCCGGACAAACCAGTGAGGTGACTTAGGGCTCAGTCAAAAGCGAGATACTACAAAACTGACGTGCTACAGTCCGAAGGCGTTCGAAGCCCCTCTCCACGGCGAGGGACTGGTGGCAAGTCACGGGAAGAAACTGAACACTGGTACGTTGCTATTGTCAGCGGAGCGCAGGACGAGCACATCTAAGTGACTTTCACACGGTGCTTTCCTGAATTTATTGATGTTGTAACATAACTAAGAGGTTTTAAACAAGCTGTCCAGCACATCAGGCCCTTGACCCGTAGCCTCCGGAGAGCCAGGGAGAGTTCAGTGCCCTGGTGAAGGGATTTACTTAACGGATATTTAAAACGTGAGTGTAAGCCAAAATAAGCAACCTACATGAGGTAGTTATTTGGCATTAAATCTATGCAAAAAAGTATGCCACAGTTCACTCGATTTGCCTAAATACTGATTTAAAATATTAATTATTTCCCATTTAAGTATACAGACCACCCGAGAACTCTGCTGCAGAAGCTGAGGCTCCATGCGTGCGACTAATCTAAGAAAAACGCGGTTACTCTGACAGCATTCAGGCGAAGCGGGTCTGCGCTTGTGAACCTGCTCCGATTTTGTCCTACCTGCTGGCGTGTGTTGAAGGCTGCCCCTGTTCAGGCGTGCGCTGAGCAGGCCCCTCCTGCGCCACGCTGGCTGCCTCATCGTGCCATTCTCGTCGGTGCACCAAAAAAGCCTATTTTTTCATAATTCTGATGGAAACGCATAGAAGGTCGTTAACTTAGTTCTCAAACTCCCCCTAGGAAATATGCATAAATACTGGGATTGCACAAGTGTTTTTTTCTACAGCTACTGTTTTATGCCGGGGAATTGTCTGCACAGCAATTAGAAAAGTGCCTCAATGGTTTTTGCCTTTTCTTTTTTCTTTTTTTTGGAGGCCCCGGCGAAGCGGAGCGCCGCAGCTCGGGCTGCCGGGGCTCCGGCAGCGCGGCAGGAACGGCCCGAGCACCGAGCGCGGCTCCGTCCCTGCCTGCGCGCTGCTGGGCTGCTCCCAGCTGCGGGAAGGTCCCGGCTTCATTCAGTATTCACGTTTGCCACCAAGCAAAAGCATCTCGGTCTTTGGCTCAAAATCAGCGTCGGAAAGCTATGGCATTTCGCACGACCTATAAAGGCCACGGGAACAGAAACATCCATGCAAGATTTTCATTTAGGAAATTCCCGTTTCCTGTGCGACGGTGGCTGCAGACCGCTGGTGGCTGCAAGCAGCAGGAGACACGACTGACGCGTTCAGCGCAGCTCCCTCTCCCCTGAACACAAACCAGTGAGTCACGGAAGAATACCACGAAAACGGCCTTAATTTGCACTTTCCAATCGTTTCAAATTCTAGTTTTTTTGTTTTCTTTTACTCAATGCCATAGCTATGGGAGGCCAGCCTCAAGACAGCCCTAATTTTTAAAAATTATTTTTCAATCTTACTGTTTGCAGCTTGCAGTTATGATTTGCTTATATTCATCACATGAAATACAACGTATGTCACCTTTTTACAGTAAATACTGCTCAAAGAAAGATTCCTGCATGTAGATCTTATAGCCAAAGTTTCTGATCCTGGAAATTTGGCTTGCGCATTGCATTTGGGGCTACTGAAAGCTCCATCCCAGCCACAGTAACTGGCCCGTAGACCTGAAGACTTGGCCCTCCAAACGTGCCAGTGAACCCGTTTGCTCCTATCATCAGATGCTGTGAAGGCTAAAAAAACGCCTGAAGATATGCCTGCTAGGCTGGGACTTGTTATCTTAAGCCTTGCACATATATAAGCCTTTTGTCTGTAGATGGGAGGGCAGATTCTGCCTTTGTTTATGCTAATGTAAATTTGGAATAATTTCACCGAACCATCATTCAGGAGCCAAACAGGGCAGATTTTAGCCTTTGATTTTTAAAGATCTCTAGGAAAACTTCCCTGCATTCCCCTGCCTAATTCATTGTACAGAAAACTACACAGAGAAGTACTGCCAATTCCACTTGGAAAAGCCCAGGTTATATATAAAAACACCGGGTGGGAAGCAGTAAAAGAAAGGTCTCAGTATCGATAGGTGACAACTTCCTCACTGTCAGACATCTCGCCAATATTCACTCGAAGTACGGGGGGGGAAAAAAAGAGAGAGAGAGAGAGAGAAAAGGAAACAACAGCCCCGTTCACCTAGCTGAGAGGCTATTGAGGATTTACAGACAGGAAACAAGGAAATTAGGAATTTTGGCTTTTTATGAATAAAAATCTCCCGGGGG